TCACGACGAGCATGCTAGCTTTCGATCGCTGTCGTTTTGGGTCGTCCCCATTCAGCAACGTTCCTGTGCGTACTACGTAAACCAAGTCGCATGAAGGTGGGTAGCGGACCCTCGTCTGCGCTTGGGCTTATCTTGCTCTTGCTCGTTGCTTGATTTTTTGCTGACGCTTTGTGATCTTCGCTTGTGCTGTCGTACCGTCCAGCTTGACTTTTAGATTGCCCTGGCGTTCATCTTGGTGCTTGATGTGATCCATTAATTGGTTGTTGACACTTCGCTGGTGGTCGATAACCTTACTCTCTTAACGTGGTTCTTTGTGGGATTGGGCTTTAACTTGGCGACCAACTTTTCTTTCTTCCGTGGTACAGTTAGTCAGATGCGTCGACCACGCCAAACGCTCAGCTAGAGAAACTCCAGCGCTAGTGACCGGGATCTCTAATCTATATGATGCCAAGCAATATGCGAAAAATTTCTTCACAGCGGGGTAGTGTACAATAAGGTAAGCCGTGCGGACATCGATGACTGTTTGACTAATATTGTACTGGGGGCATTCCATCTTGTATCAGGTAACGAAAATAAAAGGGCTGCGTAGCTGCAATCTTCTCCTTCGTTTCAGCATCAAATGATTTCAGGCAACACCCATTCACCTTAGTATCAGCGTCGAATCCACTCAGTGCCTTGCTGATCTTCCCTGCTTGTATTAAAGATGTAGTTAAACCCCTTGATTGTTATGTTCCAGGCTCCACGGTCAATTGCCCAGCGATTCGTGAGACCAGCGCAACCGTCCACATGCTGCGCACCACCGTGGCAAAACGAGTGTGACGTCAGCGACTCATCTTCACTCGCAACACCCCCACTCGATCGAGGACGCAATTAACATTGGTGTAAATCGTCGGGGTGTGTCAACTCGAGTTGCTGAGGCTGAAATATGGGCGGCAGCGATGGTCTTAAACTCGTCGGGATGATTCAAGACCCCCAGTAGCGGGGTTGCCGGAGACAAGGTTACAAGAGACCCGACTAAATCTGGGGCAAGCTACCAATAACTGATAATAGTCAGACACGGGGTAGCTTGGATGAGAAGCACCAGCGCGATGCGATGGAGGGGGTAGGTGATAAACTCGTCACCGAGATACAGCGACAAGCCTTGTTCCTCTGATTTTTTTATGCGTATGAACCGCACAAAAAGCACACCAGCCGCGTCAACATAGAAATTCTGCTTGCGCACTAGAGTCAAGTCTAATGCGCGATCAAATGAGTACACCAACAGGCACAGTAAAGCAGCATCTTGATGGTCGCTACATCTTCCTGCAGACTTGTATCAAAACAGCATCTCTCTTTAATCGTTCTACAAGCACGGTGGTGCTTTGTTGACTACTTTTCCGTCTCTCTTCAAACAATAGCTGTCGAGCGTCTTCCCATGCTCAGCAGCCTGGCTTCGACTACGTGTCGTTATGCGGGGAAGAGCTCAAACAACCACACCTTACTCTGTCTGAAGTACTGCATTGAGGTATTCCGGGCAAGCGGTTTTTGCTTCTTTCCCTCATCGAGCGCAAGGTACATCAAACATGTCTAACACTGTAACGGGGACAATCCAGTGTACTCCAGGTTGCGTAAAGAGTGTCCCGTCACTCTTGTGGATACTGATACGCGGTACCAGGTGCTCTAGGAGCCAGTCAGGGCATGACTACTTGTCTTCACTATAGGTTACCTCTAGTTTGTAAAAGAGCCCAAGCTAAGCTTACTTATAAATGCATCAGTCCTGCAACTACTCTTCTAAGTCGCACCTTTGAGACCGGAAACACGTGGACTAACGTTCACTTGGGTAGTAAATAAGCACTTCCTCTGTTCAAGGTGCTGTGTGACCCCGTCACAAACACCGACATAAAGCACCCACCTAAGCCATCCTGCTCGATGCATTGCCGGACATGTCAAAACCCATATTCTCACTCTTTACGAAGCTTTTGAAAGCTTTCGCCGCTTTGTTTTTCGCTCGCTTAGTGTTACCATATTAGAGCTCGTCTAGGCCCATCGTAGTCGGATAGAAAGCGTATATGGATTGAAACGCTTGACACTAGAAGTTTGTTAGTGGAAGTGGATATTTTCCCTCCGACGACGACCCGATACGTCGGAGCCGTTGGTTTGGAGGGCCTACCTAACTGTAACTGTAATTATTGGAAGAAACTTGACAACACGAATAGTGTGATTGGGTATAAATAAAATAAACATTTGATTGGATGATAGGCTACAATACAATTATTAAGAGTGGTCGGATAAGTGTCCGGCTTGACTTGAAGAACCTTTTATGAAAGGACCGTACTTCGGCTACTTAAGTTAAGAATTGTGCGCTTTTGCTTTGATTGAACGCGCACGCAATACAGACAACTCGAGCTATAGTGGAGGTATTGTACTCGCCTCCAGATACCGCTCTTATAGATTTCACAGATTATAAGAGAAACTATTATTGATCATTGCAAAAACCTATCGTTAATCATAAAAGAAGGAGGTGATAACTGTCTGTCTCTTCGATTTGATTGCCATTCTGCGACTGGGACCGACAACCTTCTGCACGCTGGCGCCCTGCAGCCCATGGGCAAACATATAGACCTGTAAATTCGGGCAGCATTTACTGCTTCACTGTGCGAGAAAGGTGTCGTCTCCTGCAAACTGCAATCGCTGTCGCTTAAAGAATTGTGGATATCGCGTTCACTCTTCATGATTTCCTCGACATAATCTTTAGTCGCGACATAGCTCTCAGCACTCAACGGGTCCACTAGCTCTTCACCTTTGTGCACTCAAATTCGCTCTAAACGACAATCAAATCCGTGATAAACAATTCAGTTACGTAAATTTCTGAGTTTCAACTACCAAATCTGCAAACAAATTCGTTTTTACTGCACACAAACCGGTGTGCGCCGAAATTGAAGGCTGTGCTGCGCTCGCGCCAAAACCGCGCGTCCAAGACAAGGTCAGCCGACGTACTCTCACTTCTCGTTTCACCCTCAGCCACGCAGATGCCCCCTACAAACATCATACTGTTGCTGAAAAGCAGCGTGTCCTGGAAGCGTACCAGTCCGGACTCCCAGATTGGCTCCAAGTGTCTGCGAACAATGGTTTTGCCCCTTGAGCTGTTCGAGACCTGATTGCGCGAGGGCGAGCTGAAAACCTTCCCCGTGGTGGCGTGAAGCATTCCAAGATGACGGAGGAGGCTAAAACATATCTGGAGCAGTACCTTAGCGAAAATTGTACGCACAGCCTCGAAACCTTGCGTACAATGCTGTTTCTCGATTGTGGCGTGAAGGTTAGCAAGGCCACCATCAGCCGTCACCTCATCGGCATGCTGTACACTGTGAAACAAGTGCGTGTCGAGCCTACAACCTGCAACAGCGAAGTCGACCTGTTAAAGCGCCAAGCCTTTGCTAAACAGCTCAAAGAACACCAAAAACAAGGTAACTGTATTGTGTATTATGACGAAACCATTTTTAATGTGCACTTGAAGCGTCAAAAAGGACGCGCTAAGCGAGGAAAGCGTGCTGTCCTGAAGCTGCCGCCTTCGAATGGCGCGAACCTGCAGATGCAGTGTGCTGTGTCGTCCAGCATTTGACTCGTCACCTACCGACTTCAACGAGGCAGCATTCGTATGGACAAGAATGCTGCTTTTGTGGAGGAGATTTATGCGGTTGTCAAGACGTCTGAGGAGTTTAGGATGTACTATGAGGGCAAGATGGTCGTGATTGTCATGGACAATGCTCCTGCGCATCGCGAGACTGAGGATCGCGTCACTAAGCACGCTGACATGGAGTTGCTGCGCTTGGGGCCGTACTCCCCAATGTGCAACCCCATCGAAGCATGCTTCAGCGTTTTAAAGGCTCGTATCAAGACGGAATTGGCGATATTCCGCGATGAAGTATGCGACCGCACCCGGGATCCGGACCAAAACGAAGAGGTCCTCTCCATTGCTGAGCGGCAGATACGTCTTCTGGAAAGGACTGCGAAACACAAAATGAAGTGGATAACGCCTGTGTTGGTCTCCCGAATGGAACTGCATTGCAGTAATGCGGTAAATGCAGCAGCGGACGGGAAGGCTATGGAGTACGGCACGTAATGTACGGCTTTGTGTGCAGTAAAAACGAATTCGTTTGCAGATTTGGTAGTGAAACTTCAGAAATTTACGTAATGCAATTGTTCATCACGGATTTGGCCGTTTAGAACGAATTTGAGCGCACAAAGGTGTAATTGAGATTAGCGAGTCTAACTATCCGATTCTCAAACTGGTTTGCTGTCTTGCTCGACGCGGGCGCTCATGCTCCCCGATACAATTTTTGTATGGCACCAGCAATGACAGATAGTCGCTTGTGACACAGAGGCTCATGCATCCACAACAAACTTAATCGACGTCAGCAAGTCCATCCGTTTCTGAGCTTCACATTGCTCGATGACCCACTGCACGATAATTTTTGTACTTTAGCTTGAAGTTGCAAATAATACCGGCGTCCATCGGCTGCATATGTGAGGTCGTATTCTTTGGCAGAAAATGTACGCGAACATTATTCATCTCGACCTCAGCATGACTGAACTCACTACCAACCAGTAAAAGTATTTGACGTCCGTGCATTTTTGTAGATTCAACGCGCGCACCCACTCGAGAAAATCTTGGCCGTCATCCACGCTTTCTAGTTTAAAGAATATTTTATCGGCACTGGTCCAATATCCACTCCATTAAAGCAACGAGGCTTCGCCGCCTTATTATTACAATAGGCTCCAACCTCTCCGTTCTACTTAATTTACAGTAAAGAGCAAAGCTAATCCTTGCCTTGTCCTTCTTTCTACCTGCAATCGTCCTCGTAGCAAGCGTTTCACTAGGTAGCATTCTGTAAAACAGAGCGGTTTCATCCATATTAAAGATATCCTGAGGGTTGTACCTCCATCAATACAGTGCACTGCTGTCCAAGCTCCGTGGTGCTAACAGATCCGGCTTCACCGTGCATTCGACGCAGCGTTACCCCATGGCGAACTTTAAATCGCTGGACCCAAGAGAGAGAAATAACGTCACTTCCGGCGAGGGAATTTGTCTTGGCCTAAAGAACATCATCAGAAAGAAGCCCTTTGACTTCTTGAGTGTGGACGAGCGCTTAGAGCTCAGGCTCGATAGATGCATGTTGGGGCTTTCGCTTCTTTATAATCTTGTCGTTGGGCGTGCAGTCGAGAGGCTGATTCACAATTTTTCCCACCGTGGAATTTCCGATGCGTTTACCGAAACGCACACCAACCTGCTGCTGGAGGTCAACGTGTTTAAGTTTGGGGTTGGCTAGATGGTGACGACGTAGTTCATTCTACAGATGTTGGCGCGATGAAACCATTGTTTCGCTGTGTGGTGTGATGTTAAGTGAGCCACGCTGCACCCAACTCTCTTATTGGGCATCAAAACGAATGGACCAGAGGCTCTCCTACACTCTTACAGTCTTATACCAGATTTGGCTTATTTTTAGTATGGCAAAAATCGGGGCTTTTGACCTCCATCCGTCTGATTTCGCCTGATGTACTCGCCTGCACTCTCGGGTGCAGTCAAGCGTCGCAGCAACTCGACACCGCGTGGTCCAGCAGCTGAGCATGCAGCTCAACGTGCGACTGCAACCACTCAGAACGAGTCATCGCAGCAGCAGCATCGACGTCGCCACCGCAGCTGGGTGGACCACGAGAGCTCGCCCTACAATGGAGAGTCCATGGCTCTATTGGTCAGCAATGACTTGGCTCTAAATGGTGGAGCTGTTAGCAATCCTGGAGGCGTTTGTAGCCCCCACCAAGTGGGCAAGTTGACGAACGCATTGATGTATGGTGTCATCAACTCCATCCTGACGATCCCGTGCATGTACGGCTACGCAGCCATCATCTTCAGCCATCCGGACTTTGCCAGCTTCATGCCGGCGCTGTCTAAGCTCGTCATGTTCTCCAGCGTCGTACACCAAGTCATGTTCACGCTACTGAGCTCGCTTCCGTTCGCTATCGGACAGGTGCAAGATGCAGGGCTCATCTTCCTCAGTGCCATCGCAACGTCCATCTGCAAATCACTGGGCGAAGAGGTCTCGCTGGAAGCCAAAGTGACGACCACGGTGGTGACAATTGGGCTGGCCACAGCGTCACTCGGTGTGGTGCTGGTACTGCTGGGCAAGTTCAAACTGGCAGGACTCGTGTCGTATCTGCCGATGCCTGTGGTTGGAGGCTATTTGGCCTTTATTGGACTGTTCTGTATGTACGCCGGTTTGTCGCTATGTACGGGACTGGTGATCAATGATTTCTCCTCCATGATGCAGATCTGGGACCCGCACTTCTTGCTTCTCTGCATCCCTGGGGTCGTGGGCGGCGTGATTTTGTTGCTGGTGTCGCAGCGCTGTGAGAACTCGTTCGCGCTGCCTGCTACGATTCTGTTGATGCCTCTACTCTTCTTCGCTGTGCTAGCGCTCTGTGGTGTCTCGTTGGACGAAGCTCGAGACTATGGATGGGTCGCGCCGGCCTCGGAGCCCGCTGGCTTCGTGCAGATGTTCGACCTGTTTGATTTCTCGCAGATGCACTGGAACCAAGTGCCTCGACAACTCACAACGTGGATCGGTATGACGTTCGTTGTGGCCTTCTCGTCGTGTCTAGACGTGGCAGCTATCGAGATGGATATGGGCAGTCAGCTCAACATCAACCATGAGCTTAAGTCTGTGGGCTGGTCCAACGTTGTGAGTGGACTGCTGGGCGGATACACCGGCTCCTACATTTTCTCCCAGACGATCTTCACGTACCGTTCCAAGAGCAACTCGCGCGTGGTTGGCGTGTGCGTCATCATCTCCGAGTTCGCCATCGTGCTCGTGCCATTGTCAGTGATGAGTCTCGTGCCTCGTTTCTTCTTCGCCGCCACGCTGATCTTTATCGCTATCGACCTCATGATGGAGTGGCTAGTGCATGTGTACCACAAGATCTTGCCGAGAGAGTACGTGGTGTTGTTGCTGTCTTTCATCGCAATCAACATGGTGTCGCTCGAGCTGGGGATGATACTGGGCATCGGCTTTGCCATTATCAACTTCTTGTTCGGCTATGCGCAGGTTCGAGTTGTGAGCCGTAAGTGTCGCTCTTCCGCTGCAGTGCGTAAACTCGCAGCACGCACGTTTCTCGGTCAAAAACGCGATGCTATTGTGTACTTAGAGCTGTATGGCTATTTGTTCTTCGGCTCGTCGGTTCAGATCCTTGAAGACGTACAGAAGGCTGTACACGTCCGCAAGTCTCGAGCTACTTTGAAGCAGAAGTCGAGTAAGGGAATGGATACGGAGCCACATTACGCTGACGACTCCGGTATCCCGCTCACCCCTGTGTCCAAGCGTGACGTCCCAATTGAGTGCTTGGATGGCAGTCCTGCGCCACACCCGGACGGTCTGCCGACTGAGTACGTCGTCATGGACTTCAATCGCGTTTCTGGTATGGACGCGACGGCTGCTCGTAGTGCCTTCATGATCTTGCAACAATATTGCAAGCGTCATGACATCACTGTCATTTTCGCAGATGCACTACCAGAAATCCGCCGTTTGTTATTGAAGAACGAGATCGCAGAGGAGGAAAACTTCTTCCTCAATGCTGATTCCGCCTTGGAGTTCTGCGAGAACCAGCTGCTGGTAAACACCAATCATTCCCAGGATATAAAACACAGCCACGAGTCCATGAGTGTGCTGCTTCACCGCTTTATGGGCGAACCGGATGACTCGCCGCTCTTCCGTGGCGTCGACCAGTTTTTCCGCAAGTACGAAGTGCCTCAAGGCTACGAGTTCTACCGTGTTGCGTCCTACCCAGACCGCTTCTACTTCCTCGCCAGTGGCCGTGTTGCGCTCTTTATGAACGACGACGGTAGTGTAGTCCCAGGCAAACCGTTGACTCTACTAGAGAACGTGATGCCCGGCGCCACGTTCGGCGAGGTTGACTTCTTCGGCCGTCAGTACCGATACATGGCAGCCAGGGCGTTGGAGCCCTGCACGGTGTTCGAGATGACCCGCCAGACTTACGAGTCCATGGACGAGTTGGCGCCTGCTCTCTGGAACCGCCTCCGCGACGTCGTCATGCAGTCCATGGCCTTGTCGATCACCAACACGACCTCTTTCAACACCCTCAACAACGCCAATGGTCATCTCCCAGGATCTAACCAGCAATGAGGCAATCAAACGCTTAATTAACGTTAATAAATGAATTGCACACATAGAAATCTAGCTAAATGGTTCAGCACTCCTTTCTAGCTTTGCCCAACTATATCTCTTTTCAGAAGCGAATAGTACGTGCAAGATCACGTAGCGCGTTTTGCTCGGCCCACTCGCACTTTAACACTACGTTGTCTGCATTAGGATCGAACACGACGAGCTGGATAGGAGAAAGAAACACGTCAATACACCCACCTTAGTTACAAGAGCAGCATGGCGCACGTACCATGGGAGCTGTGGCTACGTAGAACAAGCCCGCGCGCTCTTCATGACAGAGAGAATTGCCAAACAACTCAGTGAATTGCTCTTGCTCGATCGTGTGCCGCACGGGCTCTTGCGAGTGAAATGCCGCTGACATGTAGAATGCGAAGTCGTGTGCCAATCCGAAAAGCTTCATGAAGGCGAGACGCCGCACTCCGTCACTCGCCACTTCCAGCTGCGATTTGTCTGCACTGTCGCGACTCATCCGACCAACTTGTCGAAGCTTCGTTCGGAACATTCCAACCACCGAATCCAGCACGCGTTGCGCGTCAGCGGCAGCGATTCGACATTCCCCGCGGTAACGCGTAGTAAGTAGCGCCGTCCGATCCGCCTCACCTTTCTTTAGACTCTCCACCTGTGCCTTGCACGTCTTAATCTCGCTGGTCATTGCATCAAATCGTCCCACATCCGGCCCACGTTCCTGAAGGCGCAACTTAGCTCGTGCAACTGCCAGTTGATTTTGAGCTTCGGCAATTTCGCGCTGTGCCTTCTCCTGTGCCGCTACCACCTCGTTTTTTGCCTTTACGCGCACTTCATCATTCTCTATCAGCATGCGTTGCACTCGCTTCCGCAGTCCTGCGTTCTTCTCCTCCAGTGCTGCTTTCTCCGCCTTCTCTTTCTTTATATCAGCGAGAAGAGCTGTAGCATTCACAGGCTGCCCGTTCTCGTCCAACATGGTCACTGCGCGCTGAGAGCTATAAGAAAAAATAAATATTAATCATATCAGTACAAGATCAGTTATAAATAATAAAAAAAAACTCACGGTCGAGCTCGTTTCCTCGGTTGTTGTACGCCATTCAGAGTAGTAGTCGACGTCATAGGGATCGACGGAGGCGGGACTCCTGACTGAGGAGGCAAGTTAGCGACGACTGCCTGTTGTCCGCCCCCACTGGCCCCATTTTGAAGTTTAAAAGATTGTCCCGATCCACTAACAGCCGCTGGAGTTGCAGGTTCAGCAGAACTCCATGGGTTTCCCGATGTTGTAGTCGTGTTCGGAGAGGCAAGCGACTTCGAAGCCACATGAGATGTAGCCAATTGTCCTTTATAATGTTGGTCCATTCTCTCGATCTCGAACACCAGCTCTCCCGGCCGCGTGGCCTTCAGTAGCTGAATAACCGTTAGGAACTCGTGCCCCGTGAGGTCCCGACCGTTGACAGACAGAAGCGTATCCCCCACCTGCAAAGTCGTGTCGCCGCCCTGTAGTGTCGACACCTGCAGTCGTTTGAATCGGTCGTGACGCACGCCAAAACCCAATTTGTCCCCATGCTTCATGACGCGCACTGTCATCCGTCGAACTCCGTCGACTCGAGGCGCTTCCACGCGGAATTTCTTCAGTTGCGGCTGCGTCTCACGTGTCTTTAATGCTCCTGCAGGCTGTCGGTGTGAGGCCGAAGGAGCAACGGGTGATGCGGTGCCAGCAACAACGCTCGACTGGCGAGACGGCACTTTAGTGTGTGAGAACACGACGGTGTCACTCGTTAGCGTGGCAGGTGTACGTTCTGTCGTGCGGTTAGAGAGCGATTGAGAGCCCGTGGAGGAAAATGCATCCGACGGGGCCGTGACCCGCGGCGGAAGGTGTGCCATGTTGCCCCCTGGGTCGTCGCTGGTATGTTACAACACCCGCGTTTTGCGCCATAAATGAAATTGGAAATAAATTATCAGATCTAACAGGACTATTTCAAAATCTGAGAATAGTCATGCTGACTATTTTTGAGCTGGAGTTCATCCAGAATTTAGATGAGTGTGAACGTGAAGATTCGTTCATTAAAGGTGAGCGCAGATGACTCAGCCAACGGGTTCCCGTTCATATCAGCTGCTTATTTTTTTTCAACCCAGCCAGCCCGAGACGACCACAAAAACTGCGGTCCACGTTCACTCATCTAAATTCTGGATGAACTCCAGCTCAAAAATAGTCAGCATGACTATTCTCAGATTTTGAAATAGTCCTGTTAGATCTGATAATTTATTTCCAATTTCATTTATGGCGCCAAAAAACCAAAAACGCGGGTGTAGTAACATACCACCAACGACCCAGGGGGCAACATGGCACACCTTCCGCCGAACGTTTGGACAGTGGCGAGTGACGGCGACGTCGAGAGCGTCAAGGCATTTCTGGCTAGCGGAGGAGATGTGAACGCAATGGACGAAAATGGATATACGCCACTGTAAGTTGGTTGATTGGGGTTATGCATGCTAGTATTTAGTGCTGATGCTGTTGATGCTGACAGGCAGGCGGCGGTGAGCTACAATCACATGGAGCTGGTGGTGTTCCTACTGGCGAGCGGTGCGGACGTCAAGCTGGGTGAGCTGTTGGCGGTGTGAGAGGAGAATTGTACTTGTGGATGACTTACGAGATGGCGGATGCAGGCGACAACGACATGGACACGCCGCTGCATCGATGCGAGACGGTCGAGTGCGCGAAGCTACTACTGGAGCACGGCGCGGGTCTGAACGCGCGCAACTCAGAAGGACAAACGGTGAGCTGTGGTAAATTGATACTGCTGTGGGGTTTTGTCTCATTGGTGGTTACTGTAGCCGTATGATGTTGCTATCGAGGACGAGCACGAAGCGCTCAAGACAATGTACGAGAACCTCGGCGCCGAAAACTCGGACAGAATTCCTGAAGAAGAGGAAGAGAGCTTCGCCAACGGCGTCAGCCTTGAAGGATAGCACTGCATCTTACTAGTAGTACTACGTAGTAGAAACACAGTGGCACGGATGAACGTTAGTATAGATATTTTGAACAAGAAAAACCTGTCCGACGTCCTTGAGAGGTTGCGCTACAGGGCAAAACCTATTTACATGTACAGTCAAACTACCTAGAGCTCCACGCCTATCGTACTGAGTAGTCCTACTAGTGTTAATACCACGTATAGCTAAATAAATGCCGGTGGAGATGGCCTAATAATTAGTATCGATGTTACCTTGTCAATTGATTGATCGTGTTCACTCAGCAAGAAGTTGTCAACATGACCCGCTGTCAAACGGTTCAGGCTCATTATATCATTTTAGAATCACTGTGAACACCTACGAAAGAATATGCAGCACGCAGCGAGGGGTTTGTCCTCTGTTTTTCCAAGTGTTCTCGATCGAAGCAAATTGCCGACTGACACGGCAATTCCGTCCCTCCACCAGCTCGACAAATCCCGTCCATTCGTTGCTGCTTCAGCCTAACATGGCTACATTGGTGTCGAAAACACCATTTCCCGCCATTTGACGGTTCTCCACCACTACGCAAGCTTTGCGCACGATGGACGCCATTTCTTCTTGCGGCAACCCCGACTCGCAGATATCCGTCAATGTGCCAACATACTTGAGGCTGTAGCTGGTGAGTCCGCCAGTAAAAGAGCAAGAAGTCTCGAAAGTGCGGGTGATTTCTGCTTGGCACTCGAAGTTCTTGGGCTCTTCAACTTGAAGTAGAGCAGCTTTGGTCTGCTGCTCGTATAGAGCCTTGATGGTCTCAAACACCTCGTCCGCAGCTTCACGAGCGTGGATTATCGCCGTGAGATCGTCCGCAAGACCACGTCGATCTTTTCCTGGGGAAGCACGCATATAGCGGTAGAACGCAACGACCAGGTCCACGTCGCGAGCGTCTACAGCGCTCTGGACAGCAGATGTCGTGCCGTGAGCTGCAATGGTCGACAGAAGCTCAGTATCATCACTGCCAGAGTCATCGCCATTGTAACTCTTGTCGTATGTGGACTGGTAGTTGCCGACGATCTCGTGAGTGAGTTTCGACACCCCAAACGACTTGACGTGGCTCTTAGTAGTCGCATTCTTAACTCGGTGGAACTGCGTTGTTAAAGTCTCCCCCGACAAGTCCGTCAGATCGCTGTCCTCCATCCAATTGACAGAGTACAGATCTCCAAGACACGAGCCGATGCGCTCACCATTCACCTCGTCCAACGGAGGGCAGTAGGCAGCCCACGAAGACTCGAAGCCGTTGGCAGCCGTTGTCACATAGGCGTTGATACTCTTTAAGAAGCTGTCCGAGAACATCGAGCCCGACTCGCAGGCTTCCATGTAAAACACGAGTTCCTTGTACATTTTCTTGTCGTGCATGGTCCGCATGGCCTGTTTAAGTCTCGAAGCCGTGAGCGGCTTCATGTTCGGGAAGTAAATGTTGCCGCGTGATCCGTGGTCAATGAAGTTGATGAACACTCGGTCGTCTTCCGTGCTGTTGAGCACATTCTTATTGAAGGCGCCAGAGCTGTTGCCTGTCAGTACGTTCAAAAACGTTTCAGGGGTCACTTCAACCCCACGGAAGTCGATGTTACAGCCCTTGTACACGTCCACGGGCTGTACAGCCCCGTGTGATGCGTTCTTGGTCGTGGGCTTGTTGTAGAGCTGTCCTCGGTATGGATTGCTCTCATGCCATGCCACGTCGTCGTACATCATGAGCACCACGTTCTCGGCCGGGATACCGTGGCGTCGAACGATGTGGTAGGCGTGGCAAGCGTCCGACTGGTGCCGGTAGTTGCTGTATCCGTTGGAGCCAGACACGATGACGGCCCAGTGCTCGGCATGGACTAGGGAAAGCGTCAAGAGGGCGCTCAGAAGCGTCACGGATAAAATGGCCAGAGAACCCATGCTTGAATGGGAAGAAGAAGGCAAATGGGTTGCGACCTCCAGGTTTGTTCTTCTTCAACTAAGTGTAGCCATGCTGTATCGAGATAGAGAGGGGAGCTGAAAGAACGTGATACATGCCAGTACAGAACTGTTGCTGCTTCATTGTAGCATGACTTTGGGTCATGGAGATGTCGACTTCACTTGGTGGAAGTAGATCATGTGTTCAGCAAATGTGTTTGTTCTATTTGGTACACTGTGGCTCACTGTCAATGCTTTGTCGGGTTCAGCGAGATTTTTGAAATGCGCGCTACTATTATTATAGTTGCCGTACCAAAAAAATAAATAAAGCGCTTTTAGCGAAGTCATGGTATATTGGTATTCAAAACAGCTACAATGCTCTCGAACTACGATGCTCTCGAACTCCGATGCTCTCGCGCTATAGTACAGCTCTCCCTACTGTGAAATAACCGAATTCCGACAGAAATAAGGGACTCGGCTTGGGTCCCTTATTTGTCTATCGAAGCACCGCTTCGACGTTCAATGCGCTTTCGTTCCTTATCGAAACTCCTTCAAATACATGGATAGCTACCATGGATATTAGCTATAAATGGTGAGAACTTTTGATTCCGCCCTCCACTTTACATTTGTATCGCAGCTGCGTCTTTTCAGCGCAGAAGGTGCGTCGCATTCAAACTCCCATACAATAGCCGTTAGTCCACTCTCACTCCGGAATTCGCCAAGCAAGCCATGGCTCCGCGCTCCAGTGCCTGTCGCCGCGTACTAGCCGTACCGCGTTCGCTTGTATCCCAAAACAAGCGCCGCTTTCAGCAGGATGGCTTCGACCTGGATCTGGGTTATGTGCACCCGCGTGTCATTGTCATGGGTCCGTTAATACAGCTTATTTTCTCTTTGTTGTACAAGTAGCATGTAACAATTGTGGCGGCCTTTCTATCCAGGTTACCCCGCTGTGGGCGTCGAGTTCCTCTTCCGAAACCCACGGTCAGAGGTGCAGCAGCTCCTGGAAGAGCGCCATAGCGGACATTATTTCGTCTACAACTTCTGCGACGAGTGCAAACGGAGGTGGGTTGTCGCTAAAATGTGCAATAACTGAGACGGTGTATGCTAATTTTCATTTTTTTTAGCTACCCATCGAGCATCTTTAATGGACGTGTCAAGAATTATCCCATTGAAGACCACAATGTCCCAACGTTCCAGATGATGTACGCGCGTTAAAAAAGAACACCCCAGCAGAAGTGCTAATTGTTGCTATAGGATGGCGTTCTGCGACGAAGCTGCCGCTTGGCTGGATGCAAACGAGAAGCATATCGTGGCGCTACATTGCAAGGTGCCAAAGCTAGCATGGTGACTTATTTTTCTGTACATCTAAGAGTTATTGTTTCTCCTTGTCAGGCCGGAAAAGGAAGAGCTGGTATGATGGCGTGTATGCTTCTCTTACGAATGGGCTTTGCAGCCTCAGCGAACGACGCGATTGATCGCTACAACCGAGAGCGCGTGAATGATCGTCGAGGTCTTACAGTTGTCAGTCAGAAGAAATGGGTAAACTACTACGCGGCGTTGCTAGCGCAGACCGCCGTTCAAGGAGAACCCATCCTAGAACCGACTTTTGTGATTCAGAAATTGATGCTGAACAACACACTGACAGCAACTAGGCCGCCAAAGTTGCGTCTACGTATCTACTCGCTACGCTCTGACGGGTCTCCCAAGACGTTGATCCACCACCAAATCGGTTCCAACGAGTTCGAGTTGCACGAGGAAATCCGTGGATGCGTCCTGCTCGAGTTTTACCGTGAGCGTGTGGGTGGGTGCATGCGAGCCAAGCATTTCAAGATCTGGTTCAACACGCTCTTCCTCAAACTTGGTACGTGACGCTGCAGAGCACAACAGGGAAAGTAACGCGTGTGTTAATGTGTGTTTCCACCATAGACAAGGAGACCGGATGTGTTGTCTTCTCTCGCCCAGAGATGGACTGGGCTGCTCGAGACAAAAAATATCGTCGCTTGCCGGCCGCTTTTGAGTTGGAGATGATGGTTACGCGCTCCGACGAATTGTAGAATGACATGCCGAGCGCTTTACCTTCCAGCTAATCATGAGCTAGTGCAAGTATTAAACAGAATAGCAGAAACGCACAATCACTTAGAGTTCGACTCTCAATTTCATGTTTTTGTACGTAGCTACTAGTACAATAATGGACGAGTGTGATCTGCGCTACTTTGGTTTGAAGGGGACAGCGGTGAAGGTGTCGCTGAAGCGTTTGAACTCTGGATGGTAGTCGAAGTTCTGCATAAGCACGATGATTCCCTGAGCGTGGCGTTGTTTGGCTTCGTCATACTGCCCTTGCATGCTGTCCGTCGTCTCCGTGTACTTGCCTGCAAGAGGTTTGATCTTGCTCTCAAAGAGCGCGCTCCATTCTCGACACTCCTTCAACTTGGCTTCCAAGTCTTTCCGTCGCTCATTTAGTCGAAACAGCTGCTCGTCGTAGTCCTTCTTGCCCTTCTCGTCGGCCTTGATCTCCCGCGTTAGTGTCTCGATTCTCATCTGTACCCCCTCCAATGCTCCACCGATGCCACTAGTCACTCGATTCATCTTCGCTGTATCCTTGGTTAACGCAAGTTGTTGCGAGGCCGCGGGGGTATACTTAAGTCGAGGCAAACCTCTTCTGGACGGCATCGTAGTCATGGCAATGTCTTCACTTACTAAGTAGAAGCACAGAAGATAACTGGGCTCTCAATCCACAAGACCCGTAACAGCGCTGAGGTCTCTAAAATTGGCGACCACCAGGTATTTACGGCACTGACGTTGAAGACCGCGCTCTTAATTAGAATGGTAGTTCATTATCCTCGATCATTAGTTAGTGGTTTGTTTAATCGTCTCGTAGTACTGGCCGTCGTCACAGAACGTCACTGAGCGCCGCGCGTCATGTCTAGGTTTGAAGTCTTTGTTGAAGGCGCTCGAAGCAGCATCGTCTCCAGTTTTGGCAAGTTTGGCGAAGAAGTCAAGCAGATCCGGGGAAGACACAAAGCCGCTGTCTCCAGAGTCGATACTACTCGCCACGAATTGTTGCTCTTGCAGATCCAGATCCAGTCCGAGTCGGTAGCACACGTGCTTTATGTCGCTCGCTCTGCATGTCGCCTCGAACTCTCCATTGTCAATCGGCACAACCATTTCCCGCGGGGCCAGACCTTTGAAGGCGTGTCTTACGAGCACAGCAGCACTCTGGAGACCGTAGTCAGAGTCCAGCAGATTCTTCAGTCGGCTATCCTGTAGAAGTTTGCGTCGCACCGTGGACGCACTACCGGCAAACGTTTCTCCGTTAGAAACGGAGCCAAGTTTTGTGAACAACCCTGTCGTCGTCGGCAACACGGAGCTGTGCATATCGAGGCTATTATTCAGTCTCCGCCCCGTCGGTCGTTGAGGTTGTTGGTACGGGTTCGTTGAGAAAGAAGACTTAGGACCCTTTCCTGATTGTGTCGGTGGTAGTGATAACTCCTTGGTAACTTCACCGAGCAGGTCACTAATACGCCGTAAGACATCCAGGAACCCGAGGCCACTATCAGGACGCAGGGATGGGTACAATTCATCCACGAGTTCTTGAGCTGCTGGGGCCCCGGTCGGGAAGTGCAGATTCAAGCGGGAGGTCAGCAGGATATCGGCGAGATCCTTCTTCGTAACGTGGCCACGAGCGTCAGCTCTGCGATGTAAATCGAGAGCAGTCTTTAAGTCGCAGCGTCGCTCCAGTAGATCCTGTAATATGCTCACCAGCGCCACACGGTGCCTCCGTTCCTGACGTGACTTGGTATCGTCCTCAGCTGCAGATCTTCTAGGCGGTTGAACGGGAGCAGTCCCAGCGTTGGGGCTCTTCATCTCGTCAGCGATTCGAACTGAAGACCTCGCTGCACGATGATCGTGGACCATGCGTCGACGTGGACAGTTCCAGAGCGAGTCGTTCGTGTGTGGGTCGTAACTGTAGGAAGAAGATACGTCTGTAGGCTGCTCCTCATACGGAGCCAGCAATACCGACGTCGTGGACAGGTGCTTCTTACGCTTCTTGGGTGACAGTAGATCGCTGCAAAGTGCCCCGAGACAATCCTCAAGCGAATGGTACGGGATTTGATCAGCTTGTTGCGGGGATTGATCACGGCTGAGAGCTTCAATAGCAGCCTGTTTGTCCGCTATAGACGCCATGATGCCGAGTTCGTGAATAGCCTGCAGCATTTCGTTCGTGGAGACTGAGCCAGTCTGGTCCGTATCCATGCGTTCACATATTGCGGTGATGCGTGGTAGCTCCACTAACATTCTCTCAAAAATCTTCTGGACGGAACGAGGAAGACGCGTGCGTTGTATCGACCCATCAATGGAAATAGTAGGGAGCTGGTTGGACGATTCAGTCGCTTTCTGCTGTATGGCGAAGTTGTTCAGGTGGTCGTAGAAGTCTTGCGCTGTGATAAATCCGCGGCCTTGGGTGTCCAATGTCCAGAAGAGCGCCTCGACATCAGCATATCGAACCAGCAGGTTCAAGTGCGCGAGACTTTGACGAAATTGACCTCTGGAAATGTGACCAAAGCGATCGCCAGGGAAAACGCTTTGAGGCGACGAGCCTGATAATTGTCCGAGTTGCTTCAACTGGTGCAACTTCGATAGGATGCGAGATTCCAGCGCTGGGGGAGGCTTCCCCGTCGAGAAGAAGGGATCTTGACGTCGCTGTTGGTGTTCAAGATACGCTTCACTGTCTCCAGTGCTGGCAGCTCTTGGACTTGTAGTCGCTGTGGGGAAATGGAGGTCACTCTCTCTACGCCGTTCGTCACATATTTTGACAATAGTACGGGTAGCCTCAGCATTTCTAGAGCAACACGAAATATCATGATGAGATATTGAAGTGTGAAAAAAAGAGGATCACTAAACAAACCTCTCTTGCGTTGACTTTCCCGCTGGAAAAGGTTCGTTCCGACTTATCACGGGACTGTAAGCTGTCGGCTGCACTGCTCTCCGCCCGAGACGAATAGGAGACTGCGTGACGCAGCCAACAGAGGCACCAGGTTCTCCAGGAGACGCTTTCGACTTCAAAGTGGTGTGATCATATGCCCTCAGTGCGTCAAGAAGTGGACCAACTCCAATTGAACCAGCAGAATCTCTACAAACGCAGGCTGTCGTTAGTCTTCGTCAATGGATCAGGATTAAAATAAATTACTTACGAGAATGGTAATAAACGAACGCGCAGAGCTGCGAAGTCAGCATTGCTCAGGGTAATTCCACAACGTAGCAGGCAGTCTCGAAAAGTCTCCGGTGGTAGATAGTATTGCCCAATGCTTTGGTGCTGGCGGAAAAGGGAGTGCAGCTTGTAGAACGCAGCCACGAGCATGTCCCAAAGGCGAGCACTACCAACCCCCACAACAGGAGGAGACACTTGTTTTGAATTAGACGGCATTGTCTGCGTTCGGTGATCTGTCCCATCTTTCTCTTGGAACAGAGCGAGGAACTTGGCGTACTTGATAGTAAACGCGTTCCCGTTGCCACCTCGACCGCGCCATCTCCCGTTGCTCGCAGCATCATGAGTATACTCCTTCACGTCCTCACCGAGCGACATGTATAGCTTTTCGTACTCTCGAGTGGTGAGGAAGACGCCGATATGACTCAACGCTAGCTCGAGTTCCTCCGGACTGACCTTGCCAGAGCTCATGACGTCCATCTTGAAGAAAACCTGGCGGAGCTTCTCGCTACTTTGCGTGATCGACGTCGTAAGTCGCTGCCACAGAGCCTCGCCCTCCACGAGGTGGGTGCTATGGTCATCGGAGTCTTTGTCTCCGCCGTTACCCGTCATAGTGCGATTGGCGTCGAGGGTGGCCTGAGTGGCGTAGGGGGTTGCCAGAGGTGCGCGGGGAGACGAGTACGGAATGCGCTTGTTCAATGAGTGTGACGACATTGACGAGGTCAACTGGGACATCGGATCGTGCTGATAGCTCCGCCGCATGAGCTGCAAAGACCACTCCGTCATGATACGGCAAAAGAGATCGATATCTGTAGTAGAACTCTCATGTCAGTAGTGCGTAGGATTCTTTGTTTTCGATACTATATGGCACTCACCTAATTTGAGAGTTTGTGTCGGACAAAAGACCAAGTAGAGCTCCTTAGCTCTCTGAAGATCTCGATCAGGCTTCGGGCCTTGACCAGGTCCTTCAATCTGAGGTGAAGAGGATGCCACAATCTCCAGACGAGTCACTGCTAGCTGAAACTCACGGAGATCAAGGTGCCCGTCGCCATTCAAGCTAAATCGGCGCAACACGTCGTCGGGTTTCATAGGATACCGCGAGAAGCGATGCACCTCGTCGGCAAAAAAAGTCATAAGCTGCTTGTTGGATAACAATTGGTGATACTGCTGCCAGTCTGGCATTTCGGTTGTTAGTACTGAGAGTTTTTAAGCAGAGTCCGCTGTTTGGTGCTTACCAGCAGTGCTCATCTGGTCAATCTTGTTCCTTGTCTTGTTGGACATCCTGCTCTTTGATAGAGATCAATACACACAAGAAGATAGGAGACAAGGAGCTGTACGCAGGCAGGGAGCGACGCGTCGAATAGAGGCGATAGCATAACGACCGCATTCAGCACTTTGGCTGCTAATTTTACAGGCGAAACTCCTGGGAACACACAAAAGTACCAAGCGTGGTTTGTTGTGAAGAATAATCATCAGCATTGCACGCACAGAATGCGAATCACACAAGGGTACGTAAAATGGGACAATAACCACAGTAGTCAATACAAAGTACAAGTGAAAGGTGCAACGTTCTATACCCAGTTGCTTTTATTCATTGGCAACAGCGTGATAATATCATATATGACCTACCGATAACAGTGCATTGAAAATTGGTGACTGTCGATGATGCCTCTCCATCACAGTGCAGATAAGGATTAATGGGGTATCTCCATTATGGACTATTGGCCCATAATGGATGGAGCTGATTTTGCCCTACCCATCAATATCAGTACCGGTAGCTTAAAACCATTTGCGGTCACAGAACGATTACTACATGTATTCCTTATAATACTACTTCCAAGTACCGGCATCCTCCGTTCTTTACTGACGGTCGCTTATTATTGACAAACGATTTTAGCCAATCAAATACCGCTACCGCAGCCCTCACTCGTAGCTGACAACACATAAAATGGGGACGGGAAAACATGATTCGGCTGTGCGCCACTCACTTCTCAAGATGCCACCGGGGCGCCACCGCGCCTCTGTTACTGCAGCCGAAAAGCTAGCAGCGCTCGATGCCTGGCGGCAGTGCGGCAACATCAATGCTGTTATGGCAGCTTTCTATAGTGATCTAGATGCGCTTGCGCAAGAGCAGCGACGCAAGCTGTTGTATCAGTGGCGCGATAAGCGCAAAAGTATCGAATTAGCGTGCAAGACGGCTCGAGGACGAGCCAAAAAGAAGGCTCGGCAGCTCGGCACAGGTACTACCCTCACCGCCGAGGCTGAGGTGGAGTTGGTAGCCTGGGTGAACGAGTTGCGGGGGGAGGGAGTACCTATTATCTCTTCAGGTCTACGGCAACAGAAAAGGTAATTTATTTCGTTTCTGCTTTTTTGCTTATTCTAATTCGTTCTGTAATACAATGCAGGGTGGTGGAATAGCTATCTATCAATTCAGTTTTTAAGATTTCATTTCGAAACTCGCGAAAACCCGTCGGAGCCGATCTTGCTGCTGTGGGACGATTTCTCCGGACATTGGACCGAAGAAGTCGTCCAATATGCAGCAAGTATCAACGTTGTTTTGATGAAAGTGCCTCCAAATGCGACCGCTGTCTGCCAGCCAGCGGACGTGGCCTGGAACAGGCCGCTAAAACAGAAGCTGCGTGGTTTTTGGGTGGAGCGATTGCGGGAGCAGCTCAAGACAAAAAAAGGATGGCGTTTCATTCAAGCTGGAGCCTCCTGACAGGGCTATTATTGCAAGCTGGGTTGAGCGTGCGTGGGGGGAGCTGGATGCAAGGACTGTAAAGGCTGACTACAAGAAAGCAGGACTCGTAGTGCCAGAAGTAGAAATTGTAGCGAGTGAGATTATCTCGGAATTGGCTAGCTTTAGTCTTGTAGATGGTAGAATCGGCATTGTAGTTGACAAGCACGACACCATTGACGAGCTGCTCGAATAATCAATGCACTTTCTCGTGATTCACAACGCGCGGCAAACATCACCTTTTTTACCCTTGTTTTGTACCCAAACATGCTTGTCAGTAAAAAGCGGAGGATGCCGGTAGTACAATAAGTAGTTTACTACCAGCATTTTGCGATGAAAATAAACTACGAACCCCGAGCTGAAGAAAACAATTCATAAAGTGTTTTTTTGTGTTTCCAACTGAAACGTTGAAAAATCTACGAGTACCTTCCTCCTGGCGTCATCCGGTTGTGAAAGAAATTCCATTAATATTCGTAGCGAGGGCTTGTGATGTCTGCCGGCTTCACACCACTGAAACCCACTTGTTGTGTTTGGTCAGTCTCTTCAACTTACCGCCGAAGTGCTTCGCCAACGAGGCGATCTGGAGACTTCTCTCCTCCTTGTCATCTTCGTCCTCCTCTGTGGCTTCCTCAAAAAGCGTTTGGTAAAGACTTCATTCTCGCCAACAAATGTGACGTCACCGGCAGTGGTTTTCAAACTATTGCTCTCGTCGAAAGTCGGAAGGGTGTCTGATGAGAGCTGCAAAGACCAACGAAACAGAGTAAGCAAGGACGCATTGTCGTTTCTTCGAAGAGAGCTGGAATGTTTATTGTCTAATTGCGAAGTGAATGAACAAAGAGCAAGCTGGGAGAAGGAGTAGACCAAATTTTAAGCAATTCAGTTACAGTAGTCTTACTAGCGATTCAATTTCATCAAGGCGATTGCCGTAAACGGGTCTCGAGGGACATAACTATATTAATTTTATTAAAATCTGGTAAGTGCATATTGTAGGCTACACTGTACCGTAACAATTGCTGGTGCTTTATGTGACAAAGCATCTGTCTGCCATAAACGATCCAAGGATTCATATTGAAGCTTTAAATGAAAACGACGTTGCACTTTTTGCGAGCTGTATATTAATAGAGCAGATGTAAAATGGATATGCAAAGAGAGAGCTTCATTTTTGACCCAAAAAGATGCTGTGCTCAGCTAACGTTTGACCAATCAGCACGAGATTTGTCCTAAAGTCTTGTGGTTTTGATTGTAAACCCACCCCTAGGAAAAAATGGCCAATCGTTTCCGTTCCCCCTGGTCTGTTTTAGTGGCTCTGAGGCCTCGTACAGGCTCAGCGTCTCCAGCTCAGTTTCAGAAACCAGAAATAAAAGCTAAGTCAAGATCACCACTATGATATCCCCCTACAATTGGCGCTATTCAGACAGTCTACGTGGCGAGTCGCGCTCCAATCGAAAACTGGACGCCTTCCGCCAATGGGTGTGATTGCTAGTCAGCTCAAATACTGTACTGTGTGTAGTAGCAATCTCGATCGGCATCATATGCACTATGCTGCAAGTCCGAGCCCTGCTTGAGCGCACTTATCTCGTGTAAGTTTAAGCTGAAGACCTTGACCTGCGATAAAACGAAGCAGAGCCATCTTTATCAGCACGATGACCACTTTGCCGTCAGCTCTCCTGACCTGCGTCAGCAACTTTCTCTTAAGTTGAAGGCGGCTATCCGTGAACTAGTGGCAAAAGACGTAAAGCCCGCTCGCATCCGCAATAAGCTGGTTGATAGCTTCACGCTATCGACCGGAGCAGTGCCTGCTCTAAAGCAGATCTAAAACTTTGTCTACAACTACCGACGAAGCAAAATGACGAACACTGACGTCGTAGAGGACATGGAGGAGATTGCTGCTGAATCACAATTCTCTGATGATCTACCTGATACTACGCCATTCACGTTCGGGTACCCACAAGACGAGGACGAGGCTCCGGGCTTGGAGACGGATATGACGCCAAACCATTGGTGATTGGAGTCACGACGCAGTTCTTACTCAAAGCGGCCGCGTGGGATCCCGACACATTTGTCTTTCATATATACGCGATGTTTAAGCTTTTGACGTGTGGATACCCACTCATTGTGTGCGGTATCTCTGACGATGCTCGGCAGTTTCACCCGATGGCATTCTTCTTAACTTCTCAAAGAACAGTCGTTTAGCTCTTCAAAGCCTGCTGGATATCTACAAGGTGGTCGTAGGACGTCCGCTTGTGGTTCGTTACTGGATGGAAGACGCTGAAGACGCTCAACTAAATGGTGTTGAGCAAACCCTGGCCGCTCCGTGTGCATCGGAGCCCTCAAAACCAGAACTACAATATTTAATGTGCTTCTTCCATGTCGTCGAAGCGTGAAATAGCGTGTTTCAAGCTTCTCCAATAACTCGAAGTACCTCGTCTATCGACAGATCAACGAAATGCACTACGCTAGAGGTGCCACCGAGTTCATGTCAATTCAAGAGCGTGTCGATGGCTTGTGGCGGGCAATTCCAGAGCTGAAACGCTTTGCCGATAAAATTAAAAAAGACCTGGATTAAAAGTCGTTTCTGCAAGTGGCGGTGCTTGGGTCGCCAACTGGCTTTGCGAAAGCGAACAACCCCGTGGAGCAGTTCAACAAAGATATTAAGCGCGACTATACGTTACGTGTCCGCGTGAAGCTTTGTGCTTTGCTCAAAAAGGTGATATCTATGTGCCATCACCGCTCCATTCTTCACCCTACGTTTGCACGAAACTCAAGCCCGCAACTACCCTCGTAGCCCGAACAAAACGACCCTTGAAGGCAAGGAAAATAGTTGTTACTCAGCCGCGACATATTCTTTTTTTCTACTGGAAGGTGAATGTAGCCGTCCAAGTGAATTTCATTGTCGAAGTTTGATCAACATGCTAGACAACGTCGGAAATGCTGAAGAAGGCGAGCGGAGCAACCGTCGCATGGAGCGACTCGGACCGCCTATGCTCGGGTGGACTTTAAACCTCAGCACGCAGACGTGTCGGTGCAGAGCATTTTATAAATTTGGTGCGTGCGTGCACCTGTTGGCATCACTGAAGCACGCCAACCGGAAGATCGCTGGATGGCCAGGAACGGAGCGCCGGGTTGTTGATAGACGCGTTAAGCGGTCTAAACCCTCGACTGGAGCGAACAAAGGAAGACCATCTCGCGTTTCTCACTCTCTTTGCGTGGATTAGTTTAGACCTTTGCTTGTAGCTCAGAAGGCATATTCTTGCAAGTAGCAATAAAATTCTTTCTATTCGCACTTGTTAGCAATGTTACTCTATTATATACACACTAGAACATTAGGATAGCGCGCTACGTACATCATTAGCAGCGATGTTTAATCTTGGTGACGTGGACTGCAAAAGTAGTTGAGCACACTGTTTGTATTCCTTTTTCCTAGTACAAACCGTAAACGTTCTAAAGTGATAGAACCTTGGCGTTTGCTACAAGGTGATCTATAGATAATGGAGATCAGCATTAGTATAAAACTTCCATAGATTTTCCGACGCACAGATCTCAAAATTGATAACAGGGCTGCAGAACGTCGGTAATTTTTTTAGCACTGCCGATCTCAATAGAAATTAAATCCTGTCAGTAACTAATCTAAGCAGTTAACTGCTATATAAAATAGTGTAGGGATAGGTGTAGATAGTTGATCTGATTTTTAGTATGCGTAGATCCCAAAACTACGACTAGGACTGCATTTTGGCAGGCAAAAGTAGAGCAGAAAATCAGAATTGTCAATGGACGCTGCCTCTACACTAAAACTGTCTTGCTATGTAAATTACTTTGTCAAATGTCTGGCATAATCCGAATAGATAACAATTGTGGCTTTTGAGAACACTAGAGCACTTAACCGGAGCTGGGGCTGCAGATATTGTGTAAAATTTTATAAAATTTAAGCTATCATCAGCATATATTTGCTATAGGACCTACTCCCCACTTTTCAGCTTCTTTGCCTCTCTAGCAGCTTTTAATTTCTGAACAACGCGTTTCTTCTTGTGTCATTTACCTTTGGCGGCTTTGCTTGCTTGAACTGTTGCTTCCGGAGACGATAGTTCTGCCAAAAAGTTACTTTTTCCTCCTCGTAGTTTGCTCTATCTCACTACCGCCCTTCCATAACGCAATACGCGGACAAGAATGCAATCCATAATTCCTTTGACCCCTGCGGGATCCAGAGGCGAATTTATTTGCTTAGGTAAACGAGTCGATCCGATCCTTTTCAGTTACTATACCTTCTCCAAAAATAGCCCCCATTTGTCAATGTCTGCCATTTCCTGTTGATATCCTAGAAGCACTGAATGTTGCACCAGATTTTTGAGATGCACCACGTCACCAGGGTACTGAATTAGTACCTCAGCAAAAGGGCAACCCATCATTTCAATTAAAGGAATTTCTTTTTATTCTTCCCACTTGAAAGTACCGGTGCGGTTGTGTTTAAGCGGAAAGAAAACCTAAATCTTGAAGCAGTGCCGAGCACTTGGAGGAATGTAGGACACCACATATCCATGGTCCACATGCACTGGTTCTCTCGGCTGTCGACTTGAAACCAGATTTCAGGTTGGAAAATATAACCTTGCCTTGAGGAATTTGAATTTTAGAGTATTATCCTGGTAGGTCGATGGATAGCTGTTCCGGGGGACTTGTTCTATTTCTAGCCATTGTTGTTTCACCCCTTCTTGGACATATAGCGGAATGCCATCCGTCATCGTAATGTCGTAGAGGTGCTCGGTATCGGTTGGGATTTTATGGTATCCCCGACAGCCAGCCACATCGTTACATCCTTGTCGGTATACCAATGCAGGTGGTTCACTCTTTACAGCTTCTTCCCACGAGAACTTTCTCGTAATATATCGATCCATAGACGTTGGGGATTTTTTGTAGACCTCTGCAAGATTGTATCGATTAGACTTGTAATCTCTAATATCAACAGTACTGCGCAGCTCGTCAATATAATTGGACGTCATATCACCGTTAGCCAAGTAACTAAACTGCTTCACGGCTAGGGAGCGGGCACCGGACGCCGAACAAAGCTAACGCGGCGGAGTGAGCCGGCGGACTGGAGCAGTGGAGCACAGCGGGACCAGAGGGCAGGGGAGCGCAGCGCCGTTAAACCAGGAGCAGCGAAGCACAGCGCGGCCGTTGGACTGGGACAGTGCAGCGCAGCGGGACTGGTGGTCAAGGGCGGCACAGTGAAGCGAGACTGGCGGACAGGTGCTGCGCCCCGCAGCAGGTTCGGTGGACTCGGTGGCTTGTGTTTTGGTAAGTGCTGCCAACAAACCGTTGACATCAGTGCTGGGTGCGACAGCTTTGTGTAGAATACATAACCTGTGACACATGTTTTGAGCCTAAACTTCCCCAGTAAAAACATCAGTCGTTGTATGAAATGTCATACATCCATGCACAAAAATCAGTTTTCTCATATGCAAATGACAATAAGCGTGGTGGTTTTAGCTTATGGGGTAATAGCTGATATGCTGGCACATTAATTCATTTAAGTACGAATGAAGCACCTGATGCATCATGTATGCAGGTGTTACAAGGCGAAAAAGGTCATAGCCTTCTCGGCCTTCGTACTGTTACTATCTTTGGATTTACACACGATGTAAAGATTGATGACATTTGATACCATATATACGCCCCGTCACCGCTTTAAAAACGAATCACAGAGCTTTTTGAGGCGGGAGACAGCGTGAGCCCAGCCTACCATCAATTGTGAGCTACTGTACCGTCAACTACATTTCAAGGAAGCTGTGTCTACGTACGAGCAAGATTTCGATGATTTGTGCATCTACTACGACTAGCGAAGGACGAGTTTGAGCAGTATGCTCGAGATCAATCCGAATGTGGTAAGCGATCGTCCGCTTTGAATCAGCAAGGATAGTCGTCGGACTATGACATTTGGAGAAGCAAATGTCTTTGGCTGCATCAAACATGACGCAGTCCAGTGTGAACTAAGCAAGCAATGTCAGATAAGAAGAAGGGCATGCTAACTGCCAGCGACGCAAGGGCAAGGACTCAGAGACGAAGAAGCGCTACACTTTTGCCAACTTGTGACCAGCACGTACACCGGTTTGCGGAATTACTGAGAGCACTGGTTTGGAACTGAAGCCGGGGCTCACTCAGAGACTGAATCAGAAGAATACCAAGAAGCAAGATGTTTCACTAGTCAGCGCAATGCGTCATGTGCAAACGGCACCGACGACTGGTAAACCACGTTGACTGCTCGAGAACTTGGTATTGAGCTCGTCCCGTCGAAGTGCAAGTGCGACTGATCCAGGACGTGTGAGACGCTTAGCGTTGCCTATGCTCTATTCGACGTCACCTACAAGTTATGGTGAAAATAATAAGAACCAAGAAGAGTGGTAAAAGGTGTGGACAATGTGAATGTTCCTATGCCGCCGCTGTAATTGCAGTTACAGCCGATTCAGAGTGTGCACCCTGCCAGCAACTCAAGTTGTGCACGATTTGCAGCCTATGTTGTACTTTGGTCTCCTTCACGTGGCTTTGTTTCAGGTTATTTCAGACAATATGGATTTGAGAGCTAAATTTAACACAAAAGAACTACAAGTATGTTGCCTGTTGTGAGAAAACATAAAGTCTATGGGCCACACGCGCATTCCTACTCGCATGACCAAACTTTTATAGGTACAATGGACATATATACGGTAAATGTGGAGACGGAAAGCAAAGCTATGTTTATTGTGGATGCCGCTACAAGATGCCAACGCGTGTACGTACACGAGAACAAGAGCCAAGCTACGTGGTTTATTCTCAAGTTGCTAAGAGAGCTGAAAGTGTCTCAAAAGGAACAGAAAGTGCTGCATCTACGGTCGAACCAAGTGTGTGGGTTTGCAAGCAACGAGTTACAAGAATACTGTGTTTCGCGTGGAATGGTGCTGCAGTTTATCAATGCGTACTCCCCCCAAGAGAATGAGAGTGCCAAACGAGCAAACGGCATTGTTTTACTGCGCGCTCGAACGCTATTGACGACTACGCACTTACCGAATATGTTTGGGGTGAAGCTCCGATGCTACCGATAAAGACGTTGGGCCTAACTTTATCGTACGAGAAGTTGAACGAGCAGAAATCATCCTTGAGTACATTACGTACCTGGTGATACCTCGCTCGGGTAGTGACTTTTGAGTCGCGACAAAGAATAGAGAAGCTGGAACTAAAGACATGTATGTGTATATTGCTCGGTTGTAGAGTCTCTACCAAGGAGTACAAGGACTTGGGCTATCTGACCTGCCGAGTGACGACCGTGCAGCTTGAGAGCTGTCACTTCCATGATGAGTTCACGGTGGATGAAACATATGTGAAGCAACTGATGCAGAACAAGTACCCAGACATATTACATGTATTGCCGGAGAAGCCATGGGTAGTGAGGGTCAAGACGAGCATTGACCATTTCGCTGCTGAGAACAACGATCCTGTGCCGTATAGGCAAGGCTTTGAAACATCAAGAAGTCGGGTGCGCTGTGGACAAAGTGATGGCATCCAGTGGGTGTTCAGCAAACGACACCTCGTCAGGGATCGACTAGCAAGCCATTGAGAAGTCTGCTGAGCCTCAGGGTGGTTCTTAACCACTGTCATACGTGCCATGCCATGACATTAGAAATTGAACTATGACATGGCGTGGTTATAAATATAAAAGCCCTACCATTGCGCAATCATAAAACTATTTCTAGAACATACATTAATGAAGTTAAAAGGAACATGGCTTATGGCAGTTGCATTTTGCCATGGATTTTCTTGCCATTTCATTTACTTTAATCTCTAGCTTAGCCAACATTTATCCAATCGGATCACAGCGTTTCGTGCCATGGCATGGCATGGCGTGCTTAAGAACGATCCTCGGGTTGCGCCTCATAAGATACCGTCGCCGAAAAAGACGGATAAGAAATGGGGGTATAAAACAAGGATGAAGTCTGGAGCGATAATGAATTTGCGAATGAGAAGCCACCTGTCGAGCCATGCCTGAAGTGACCGAGAAGAATACAGAAGACAAACGTAAGACAAAGAGACTACGTGGTGGACCACACATGGCATGGACGTGGACATTCTTACTACGTATAAGCAAGCTCGGAAGAGAAAGTTCTGGCCCCAGTGGCGGGATGGGACACTAGCAGTGCTGACGTCGCCGAAAAGGCGCAGGACCTGGTGACTTGTACCACCCAAGCAGGGGAAAAAGTCAAGGTGATCGCGTCGATTGGTGTTTTCAGGGAAGGGAGATGGTCGCGGTCGTGCCAAGCGGTATAAAACTCGTCTCGTCATCCATGGATGTATTAATAATCCGGAATCAACTATGGGGGACCCTTTGCACCAGTGGTAATCTTTGAATTTATTTGTACTTTGACTTGCAGCAAGGATGGGAGGCTCTACAGTGCCATGTTAGGACGGCACTCCTGTGTGAGATCTCAATGAGGTGATTTTCATGGAGCAATCACCTGATTTTCCGATGATGGCCCACGTGCAGTGCGTGAGCTCTTATCGAGTCTCTGTGGATTGAAGCAGACTCCCAACGTTTGGAACCGGGATTTGCATACTGAGCTGGTCATGTTGGGCTTTGAGCATACGGACTCAACTATGGTGTGTGTTGAAGGGGTATGGCGACGTAAAAATGCTGTTGCCTCTCTACGTAGATGAGCTACCGCTAATGGGACGCGCGCGCATATCGCAGCTGCGCTGTACGAGACCTATGAGTTGAGGTACTGTGAAGTACCTACTTGGTGTCGCGATTCTAAACGACAGGCGGAGGCGACAGATTGTGTATTGCCAGAAGGAGGACGTATTGGAGGTTCTATAGCGCTTCCACATGACGTGCTGCCACGGATGTGCAACTCCTGAGGCTACAACACCGTCGACGGATGTGGTGTCTGCGTCGAAGATTACTTGCTGTACCATGGGCTGGTGGGTGCACTGCAGTATCTGGTGCACGTGTTGAGCCCGGCACTGTAGCCATCACCAGGGGGTACAGCAGACGATTTCTGTATGTGCTGGATAGTACCAGGTGAGGCAAGCTAATATAACGTGTATTAGTTTTACTTGTCTATCGAAGTGTCTATGAAGTCTACGGTACTCTGACTAGTGATTGTTAGAGGATAATCGAGGCGCACACTAAGTGCGACGAGGAGAGGAAGCATGATGGGCAGGAAGAAAGGACTAGTTCCTCGCTTCCTCTTTTGCTTCGGTCTGAGCACAGCCGTGAGAATAGTAATAGGTTGAGTAATAGGGGTCAATAAAGGAATTAATATACCAAAAGATATACATTTACTTTAACAGAACGCTTTGAGACCTGACATCGCACATGCCACGTGACATTCCGGCAAGCTCCTAGCTAACAGTGATCATACGCACTACGCGCAAGTCAAGCGGGCATTAAAGTATCTGAAGGGTATATATGACTATGGTTTGGTGATGGGTTTGTCAGAAGGAACTTATTCGAATGTGCGCTGCTGCTCAGACGCCAAAAATGCAGTTGAGCGAATGAGCGGATGGACAGACGGGGAATCGGCAGGCATCGCAAAAGCAAGAGATTATCACGTGTGATGCAGAGTACATTGCCATTACCGAAACTACCAAGGACGTGTTGTGATTGACTAGACTTTGTAAGTGGTTGGCATGAAAACATCCAGTGCCGTTGCTGTTGGATGACAAAACTGGAGCGATTTCGCTGCAACCAAGCCAGGAAAACACTTAAGGCCAAGCACATTGACAATAAGTATCACATGTTGCAGCGTAACGTGGACATCAAATATATTTAAAAGTTTTCATGCTTAGAATGTAGCTAAAGGTGTGCAATCTGGGTGTTTAAATGGAAATAATGCCAAGCGCTCCTCGATAGGTGATGCGAGGGCAGCACAGCTTGATCTGAGTACCTACAGAGATTAAAGAAGAGCATCTGATCAAAGTGCTTACGATCGACAGAGGTTGGTGAGCTCATGTTGTGACTTGCCATGAAGCTTTCTGCAGACAAACCTACATTAAGCATTCACTCCAATACTATATAAATGTAGCTCAAGTTCCGCAAGAAACCTTTTTGCTAGCTATGTTGCGAACTTGCGTAAGTAGGGTATATTGCAGTACGTAAGGGGCGAAGATATTCCTAAGCTATTCTCAAAAACAATAGCTTAGGAATATCTTCGCCTGGAAAAGCAAATCAAACGAGCTGATTTGGAATATGTCCAGTGACGTGAAAAAGTTATATCATGTTTGGCAGGTATCCGATACACCAATGCAGTTTGCTGCGCACTCGCTGTAGCCTCATCTGTCGTCTAGCTCACTGCATGAGTCGTTACCCTACGAGCGTCTTATGGTTAAAAAACTGTAGTACAGTTGCCGTCAGCACAGATCTCGGTGGACATCGTGACACAAACCCGCCTTGCAATACATTCTTGTGTATCTGTCGCTAATCAAGAAAGCCTATGACATGGCCGCTTCGTTTACCGGTTATAGAAGCACAGCATATCCCTGTCTACACTACACGACGACTTGCACTGCTACGAGCGATATCTGGCCAGCGCGCGCTCGCAGAGGGGGACCGGGGCCCAATGACCATCGACAGGTATCCGCGCCAGACGCGTAGCTGGTAACGTTTGGGCCACTGTATGTTTCCAAGTATACATGCACCCGTCGCAGACATAATAAGTGAACGTTTAAATGGTCACCAGAGAATAATAAACTTGTTTTTACCAAGTATATGCGGTTTCTGAAACAAATGCCCTATCTCTTCGGAGCCACGCCCATACCAACATTAATCGCATCGAATGACCTTGTCGGACCTGTACCAAAAAAGGGTACTTCATATCAAAGTAACCCTCAAATGTAATTATATTAGTTTATGAATTAGATATTGTGGGCCACACACTAAACACAATTATTTTACAACAGGCGGGCTCAGGAAGGAGGAAGGTGGCGAGGGGCAACGACGGCGGCAGGAGTGTGGCGGCGACGACGGCAGCAAGGACATGAAGGAGTAAAGGGAACATCAGCAGCGGGTGAAGCCTTAAGGGCTGTGGTGGCTTGTCCGGCAGGGCGTACGGCAGGCTACCCATTGGGTGCGTGTCTGCAGGTGGCACTCCGAAGGGCGGACTCCGGTGGCACCGTCGAGTCATCCACCACTAGCAGCGGGGATGCCGCCGTCAGACCCCGCGAGAGCTATTGCCCCACCCGGCAGGGCGGGAAGCATGCTGCCGGCTGGTAGCCCGGGGACGCATTAAGTCCAGATGCCTGTACCAGCTGCTGGTCGTGTCGATGTAGGGATCGATGCTGACAGTAGTTGTGTGTAGCTAGCGAGCGTTAAAAAAATGTAAAATATATCCGAGTAATTGACGCAAATTATCAATGTCTCTTTGATATCGGGTACAATGATAATAGTTCGCAATGCACCACCTCACGGAAGCTATTTGAAGTTACAAGCGTAGTTAATTTATCACCTCATCACAGAGGCTATTGATGGCATGCATCCTGTCGCCATTTTAGCGCTTTCTAAAAATTGTTACGGTATTAATACCACAAATTTTAATTAAAAGCGCTTTTGGAGTCGTTTGTACAGCAATGATTACGCCGGTACGACAAAAGCAAAAAATACGTGTAATACGCCGGCATCTTAATATTTGTAATTTGGATACACACATTTTTCGTGCCCCTCCCACCTGATACGTCCGATGTGGGGTTTCGATGACCACCTAACCCTTCATGCATTGATGTGTTAAGACTGAAATATTACTTGGATATCCAAACCAAATAATATATGATTGGCCATTAATGCTGATACTAAACTTTAGAGCGGTCGGATAAGTGCTGATATTCTTCTGTGGTGAAGTGCTTTCTCAGAAATAAGAGAATGGGCCTGACGCGGGGTCACTATCCCGAATCAGTGACTATTCAAGTGATTAGAGAGGATTTGGGTTGGCTGGCACGGATGCAAGCTGCCTGTGGTGGATTAGCCATGACGAGCAGCACCCCGTATGAAATGACGATGGATATGGTATGAACGAAGTACGAGAAGGCAAGATCCACCAAGACTTACCTCGGATCCACCCTTACCTGGATTCACCAAGATGGATATGGGATATACTATACAAGAGTGGATCGGGTGTGGATCCTATGAAGGAAGGATGGTCGGTGCCCTCTGAAGGTGGATCTAGTAGCCACGGCTAACGAGGAGTCAAGATCCACCGCGAGGTACCCCGGATCCCATACTTCCGAGTTCGGATCCAAGGAGGGAGGATCCCGCCTTGAGGGACCTGGATCCAGAGTATAGGGATGGTGGATGCAGTGGATCTCGAGCTTTCGTGGGACAATGGAGATCACAGACGGCTGCGAGATGATGTTGCATGATTGGAGAGCTCAGATCCACGACGAGTGTACACTTACAGTGAAGTGGATCCAAGCGACCTGGATCCTGATGAGTGTACCCATAATAGGGTGACCATAATGATTACGCCATGGATCCGGTGGATCTGAAGATAATACAGCTGGGGTGATGGGTCAAGGGAAGAAAGGGACATGCAGCCGATCCTTGGTAAGGGATTTAACGAGGGAAAGACATAGAAGGTAGAGATCCCAGGCGGTATAGGCTTTAAGTATCAATACAGACTTCTATTTTGCACGATAACACGCAGTGCCTTCCTGTCCTCAGAACCGGAACTACATGGCCGTACGACTCCGAAAAGGTTGGGAATGC